ATCCTACCACCACATGAATAGAGATGTCTACACGCTCTGTCTAGATTTTTCATTATGTATATCATTACATGCTCTAGAAAATATAGAATGACTATCACAATAGATGGTGATTGCTGGAGTGGGCTTTGTCCAAAACTACAAATTGGAAGATATAGCATGTTCTTCACCCACCATGCTTCTTCATGGGCAAAATCTATGGCCATGATTATATCTCCGTCAGCGAGCAGAAGAAACATGTTTGTTTGTTTGACCACCATAAAATTATAGTTCCAGCCAATATAAATACCAATCTGAATATTGATAGTGAATCTTGCAGTTCTACATTTCAACTAGGATATTTATAACCTTCTAATACATCAAAATAACCAACACAGTGCATGCTATAATTTGCAGTCCATTTTAAATACCTAAAAACACAAGATATTCCATCCCAATGCTCTTAACTCGCATAGCTACTACATTTCTCAATCACATATTCACTATTAAGTCGTCTACTACTCCTCGAATACATTACTACCAACTACACTAGCATACTCTAGTTGAGAAATAAATCTCCCTATATTTTCCTTTTACTTGATAGTTAGATCTATCTGTGTAGAGGCTAGATGATCTATCTGTGTAGAGGCTAGACGGCAATTAGCATTCTCAAATTTAACAAGTACCATATTTACACATTGATATTGTATTAACCGATAAAACATTTTCTTTTCTCATAATTTTAATAACAAGTATCACATCAGCCACAATTAAATCTTTCATATCAAAGCTAGATGAGAGGAACGTTTTAGTTTCTTACATTATTTCTTTGTTAGAACCAAAATATAAGAATATCATCTCATAGAGACATATAATGGGCCATAACAGGTCAACAACATTACTACCCTCACGTTTTCTATGTTATTCTATTTAAAACCATTTGACAACAATTCTTAGTCAAATTTGTTATCTCATTGCCTAGGTGCCTTTTCTAGTCAATGAAGAGATTTGACTAGTTTATTTTATTTTAGGGTAATTATCAACAATATCCCTTTATCTTAAAAAAATGTAAAACATACCCAAATATTTTGAAATCTATATCCATACCCACTTATGCGATAATTAATATTTCTCAAAAAATACCCTTCACAATTTTATTAGAACTATGATGTTCCAAGGCCTCCTTGAAGGCCACAAGGCATCACGGCACCATAAGTACCATGATGCTAATCACAACATTGTTAGGGTCGTAATATTCACTAATACAAAAGTAATAGTGCCGTGACACTTACTAATATGTAGTGAGTGTCCTTATTCAATAAATGTTGAATAGCGAGTATCACGGCACTATTAGCCTCATGACACTCACTTTTGATATTAGTTAGTATCGCGGGACCAACAATACAATAAGCATCACGATACTAATAGTACCGTGATGTCTTCCATGAGGTTCCATGGGCATCCAGGGGAGCATCACGGTTCTAATAGAACCATGAAGGTCATTTTCAGGGAAAATTATAAATCATCTCATAAATGAGTAGAGATATAGGTTTCAAAGAATTGAAATCTGTTTCAAATATTTTTTTAAAAAGGGATATTTTTTATAATTACTTTTTATTTTATTGCCCAGGCATGATGAGCCCTTCAAGTAGTTCATACATATATTTCTTTATCTAATTCACTTTTGAGGAATGTAGTTTTTACATCAATTTGGTAAATAACTAGATGATTAATTAAGGTAGTTGCAAACAAATATAAATTGGATATGCATCAACATGGTCTTTTCTTTTGAGTCTCATATTAATGCATCAATCAGCATTTGCGTCTATCCTAATTATTCATTTACATCCAATTGGATCAGAATCAAGGGTGGTAAGTCAACTAATTTCTAAGTTTTATCAACAACAGTTGAATCTGTTGTATTATTTATGACCACTATCCAAAATATAGCAGCAAGTAATGCAAATGCTTCAAATTAATGCAATGGGGTCACCCTCTATATTAAGCACCACAGATATAACTCCTAATATTCTATCTTGACTTGTTTCCTCTAGGTGGATATAAAAGTCAGGGCCAAATTACATAATCGATAGTTCCTTACTGTCTAATCCTTTCGGATTCTATAATCAATTCATTTTCATTATGGGCTCATATAAATAACATCATCATCATTTAATAGGGAGGTTGGTCATATTTCCTGGTTCACAATGATTAGTTAAAATCATGTTTTCAAAAAATTATATAATAGCATACAAAAATATATGCTGGTTTTTTGGTATGGATAAAAAAAATTTATTTCAAAATATTGTAAATACACGTACAAAGTACTAGGTACTATGTACTTTCAAAAGTTAGTTTTTGCATTTTTGTCCTTTTCAATGTCAAAAGAGAAGTCGTGACATGTTTTTTAGTACCACATTGGCCATTTAGAATGGACGTGACAAGAATGTATGAACCAACTCTTTCTACCTTTGTCATCATCGAACAAAGGAGAGAAAAAGCTCCCATGCACTAGTAGCACGTAAGAATGCTTGCAAGCACGCAATGATGCTTGAGTCAAACTTTGCACTCTGTAAAATTCCATCAATACAAAGTCACTCCTAGCCAATGCACACTCATTATGTGTTTGCATTTCTTTGCTAGACCACATGACACCAAATAATGCAAAGTCAAGAAAAGCAATATCACACAGAAAAGCGAGAAATCAAGTGAATGTTGGTGCTTTTGGATGTTTTGGAGCCTCAAAATTTGTGAAACAACATGACTATTGACATTGCGACTATAAACAATGAGAAGACATGACTTTCTCTAAAAACCTATGACTAACAATCATATTTCTTTAATTGAATGAGTTCTTAAGAACCCAACATAAAGGCAACAAAATCTCATCTTTTGAGGACACTAAAATTATCTTTTCTCACTCTTTTAATTTCACTTTAATTAAAATTGAGGCAGCTCAGGTGTTATCAATATTTTCACTGTTTTAATACACAAAATTCGCGAGAATCCTTTGTTCCCCTATTTTGTTGCATACCTTAGGTGGATTTCCCAGAATCCTTATTGTACACTGAGTTTTAAATGGAAAAGGAGCAAATACTATCTTCCGGCTGTGCCATTAAATTGTCATACGAAACAGATTGGCTAAGTCTCACTATATGCCCATATCTTCTTTATTAGTAGCCCCATTTCATCCCGTTTAAGTCCAACAGACCGAAGATACAAGGATGCACCCATGACTTTGCAACCCGATGAAAACTAGTTAGGTTTCGTCTGCCAATGTTCTTTTTATTATTGTCTATAAGCTCCTCTATTCATTAAATACCATATGCCCATGTCTCGCAGCAACTATTGCGAATTGGCCACCTAAGAACAATTTTCCAAGAACTTCTTTCCTGCCAAAGACAAAAATGCACGACAAAATGCTTCTGTAGCAGCTAACTGTACATGCCAGGTCAGCAACAATGACACCAAAAATGTTGTTTGCAGCCTATTCAGCCTATCCTCGTCTCATGTCTCCAATTGCCATCTAAGATTTTCAAAGCCTTGTCTGTTTCTTGGATCAAACCATCCTTTCCGGGTTGATTGATTGTGGTGAATCAATATCATTCCACTATATCTTTGTTAGTTAATAGTGATCTGTATAAGGCATTTTGAATGTGCATAGCTCCTGGTCATCATTACTTTTTCATATCCAAAATTGGTAATGTAGTTAGTCACCAAATCATTACTTTGCTAGATGGAAGATTAATGCAACTGTCAATAAAGTTTACTTCTGATAGCATGCGCATAAAATATAGTCCTGGAAAGACATGCCAGAAAATAAAAAAGATATTAAAGTTGTAATGTTTATAGGTTTTACTACAGAAGCTCAAATATGAGAAAGTTGAGAATGTTTATTGCTGAATAATACCTTCTAAAAGCGTGAATTTTTACTTTAGTGCTTTTCCATATATCCTTCTAACATCCATTTAAAAGTTCCTTTCAATTCAAAATTGAAAAAAAGCACAAATCGTAGATCAAGCACCCCATAACTTTGTTGACGTTAGGTTTTATTCAATCAATTCCTTTGAAGTGTTTACATTTGGACAGGAAGGGATATAAATTTCTGACCAAACAAAGGTTGAGCCAATCTCCTGTAAGTTTAAAGGTTGCAAGTTGCAACACATCCCTCCCTTATCAACTTAACTCGAAAGCCTCCATTATGCATAGCTAGGTTATATGCACAAATGAGAGAATCAGATAGACTACGAATGTGTGTATTTATGTATGTCTGTCCTTACAGGTGTATATACAGCAAATAGTTTTATGAATCTCTCCAACAACGACAACACCGGATTTCTACTCTAATATGAAATGAGAAGAAAATGCACAATCCAGATGAATTCTAGTGAAAAGAGGCTTTCCGTGATGACAAGGACGTATCACTCAGGGACTTTTGGAGTGAGTATTCTTCAAAATCATCATATACTTACCGGAGCAGGAAGAAAAGCATCTTTGCAACCTCAATAACGGCCCCTAAAAGAAAACTCAGCTTTCCTATTTGAGATTTTGATAAAAGAAGCATCTCTCAAATGAATTAAAATTAGGCCCACTTCACCAAATTGTTGGGGAATTTAGCATGGATTATCTTTCACCCTCACGGAAGGTATAATTGATGTTCCGGTACAACTTGGTCAATATAAGGATTTTAACCATCTGGATTGATACCCCACCCCAGCTTTTATTGTTATTTTCTATTTTCAGTCATTGATCTTTCCCTTATAAAAATGTCCAGTATTTACCATAAAATTTAATTCATTCCTTTTGATAATCAACCCATCAACCAGAATTAATAAAAACGATGAGAAAACAGTCAAATAAAATAAAACCTTAGAAACTCCAAGAGGGCTTCTCCCTAGGTAAAGATGTCCTTCTAAACAAAGAAACCAGTGTTCTAGCAAAAGCGTAAAGTGAAGCTAAGAAAAGCTGAAAATGGAAGGAAAAATAAGAGAAAAAAAAGAGGAAAATTCAGTGCTCCATTTCACCTCTAAACCTTTTGCAGGCCTTCATCAATTACTTCATCAATTAGAAGAGCACTATTGTCAGATGGGATATTTTCGTTCAAACCCTTTAATTGCTCTGCTTTCATCAGGGCTTCCAAGTCCTTCAGACGAGTTTTAACCACAGTGGTAACAAGAACTAAATAAACATCAAATTCCAACATTAAATAAATCATCCATTCAAAGCTTGAAAAATAGAAAATCATTAATTCATGATTATCAACATAATCATGAAAATGAAGAAAGGGAAATAAGAAAGATAAAATAGAGAGATAAGAGGAACCTGCTGCTGTTCCGAGGGTCCATAACCAGAGAATCTTCACTGCAGGGCTTCTGTTTCTCCCCAACATTGTCCCTATCAATCTCTCTCTCTCGCCCGCCAGACACAGACCCCGTCCCCGGACCCTCACTCTGGAGAAATTAAACAACGCGACAGTGCTACCCTCTGATTGAATTGTTTTCTACTTTTCTTTCAATGTTTCAGTTTTACAGAAGAAAAATGGTGCAGCCCTGTCAAACTAAATAAAGCCTCACCTCATCATCACTCATGAAATTTGCGATTCAAGTATTGGAAAACCTAGACATCGATCATGTTGGCTTCACCGTTATGGTTGTGAAAAAAATTCGGAATTCAAGTTCTACAGCTAGTGTGTATAGTAATGAATTATCTAGATAGTTAATTTTTCCTAAACTTAAGTGTTTATATTATTTTTCTAGTTTCAAATTTTATTGTCGATGATTCATGGAGATTTTTGTTGACGAATTTGCTTTTCAAAAGAGGATCTTAAGTGATGCTTTATTTTGTTTTCATAATGCTTAGGCCTTGTAGAAACTGCAACATTTATAAAAATATCTTTAACTATCTTCGATTATCTTATAAAGTCATTCATCATCATAGTGTTAGCCTTTTTTGAACTAATTGGGGTTGGCTCATCAAATTGTGCTATGTCATTCTACGCTATTGAGGATCATACCCTTAGCGAGGTCATAAGTCTCCATATGTTTTCTCACTACTTCTAATTATATTCTTTTAGGCCTACTATTACCTATTTTTAACCTTCCACTTGAACTAACTCACACCTCTTAACTGGTGTTGTATTGAATCTGTGCCACATTTCTAACCCACCTAAGTCTACTTTCTCTCATCTGATGGCCTCTTAGTGTCATACTTAAATTCTCTTGAATGTCTTCATTTTGAATTTTATCCCTTCTTGTCTTGCTATTTATCCATCTCAATATCATCATCACAACTATACCCATTCTATGATTATATTATTTCCTAACCGCTAAACATTTCACCCCATAAAAGTAAAGCTGATCTCATAGTTGTATCGTAGAACTTGTCATTCGGCTTCATTGATATGCAGCGATTACATAAAACTCACTGTTGTATATTTCAACTTCATCCACCTAACTCTAATTCTATGTGTGACATTTTCCTCAATCTCTCCATTTTCTTGGATTATCGACCCAAGGTATTGAAAGTACGCATTTTTTTATATTTTTTGATCGTCAATGTTAAATATTTTCTCGTCTACTCCTATTATTTCTAAATGCATTCTATATACTTTGTCTTAGTCCAACTAATTTTCAAACCTTTGGATTCTAGAGCATCCCTCCAAAGTTCTAAAGTTTGTGTTAATGTTGTTTCGGGTGTCATCTATCAAAATTATGTCATATGCGAACAATGTTCACCATGATACCTCATCTTCTAAGTGCCTAGTTAGGTCATCCATAATTACGACGAAGATATCTATGCTCAATGCTGACATCTAATGTAAACCTATTGTCATTGAAATCTCCACTAGTTGTTCATACACTAATTAGGGTTCATTCGTGCATCTCTCTCACCAAGTCAATGCAATGTTAGAGATTCATTTTTTTCTATCACCCACCAAATCAAATCTCGAGGTACTCTATCATAAGCTTACTCTATATTAATAAATACCATGTGGAAGTCTTTTTACTTGGCCTTAAATTTCTCAATAAGTTGCATAAGTAGGGAAATAGCCTTAGCTGTTGACTTCCCTAGTATACCGAATTGTTTTTTTGATACACTTGTTTCATGCCTTAGTCGTTGCTAAGTACTCTCTTCTACAACTTCATAATATGGTTCATAAATTTAATCCCTCGAAAGTTTGCACAATATTGTATGTCTATTTTGTTCTTGTAAATAAGTACCACAATAGTTTTCCTCAATTTGTATAATATTTCTTTGTTTTCAACACCTTGTTGAACAGTTTGGTTAGTCAGTCAATGTCAATCTCCCCCATATACTTCCTGACCTCTATTAAAATACCATCTGATCTTAAAGCCTTTCCTATATTTATCCTCTTCAAAGTTTCTTCACTTCTAATATCATGATCCTTCGAATGTATCTATGACCTCCGCTCTCATTTATGCTGACGGTTCCTTCTAGCGCTATGTTCTCATTATGTTCGTCATTCAATAATTTTTAAAAATAAACTCTCTACCTTTCGTTGATCTCTGCATCTTTCATCAAGACCCTTTGATCCTCACTCTTAATGCATTTAATATGGTTTAGTTCTCTATAATCTTTCTTTCTCATTTTTTTAAGTTGAGGTCATCTTTTTCATCTTTTCTTATTCATAATTTACTATATATATTATATACCCTAAGTTTATCCTTACATACTATTGTTTAGCTTTTTTTTTTAGTATTTTATATTCTTCTAAGTTTTAATCATTTATATCATTGCCAAGTTTTATAACATGATCATTTTTTGCTTATAGCCTACTGAACCTCATCATTCTACCATCAAGTTTTTTCTCGAAATTTCTTTTTCCTCTAGATTCTGCTAAAATTTCTTTGCCACTTTCTTAATACAGTAAGCCATCTTATTCCACATAACATTGACATCATGTTCTGAGTTTAATTTTTCTTCTTTAACTAAGTTATCCCTATATAAGTCTATTCTCTCTTCTTCTTTTTTAAATTCTACCATTTATTTCTTAAACACCTATTAATTTCAACCTTTATCTTCCATGTCTTTATGCAAATGTCTATAACCACGAGCCTATGTTGGGTAGTTAAACTCTCTCTTGGGATAATCTTATAATATTTACATGATGATCGATTTATCTTCTTAACTAGTAAGAGGTCTATTTGGCTTTTATGTGATTCACTTTATATGTTATTAAATGTTCATCTCGCTTTTGAAGTAAGTATTTGCTATTGATAGGTCGTTGGCGATAATAAAATCTGGAATAGACTTATCCATCTCATTTCTTTCATCAAACTCATATCCCCATGTACCCCTTCATATCCTTTATTATCATTCCCTGCATCTTTATTTTAGTCCCTTCCTAAAAAGGTTTGTTTGGTATGTCTTGCACTAGTCCATCCATATCCTCCCAAAAATTGTCTTTTATTTCTATCCCCCAGTCCCACTTGTAGTGTATAAGTACTAATTACGTTAATTATCTCTTCCTTTAAAGCAAATTTAATTAATAAGAACCTATCACCTACTCTCTTGATGCTGACTATTTTATCTTTTAGATCTTTGTTTATCATACCTATGTCATTTCTATTATTATCCTTTCTTATGTACCAAAGTTTATACCAATCTATTTCCTTAGCGTTTTTTCTTTTCCACTTAGTTTCCTATAGACAAGCTATGTTTACTCTCCATCTTATTATATCCACTAACTATATACTCTTACCTATGAGCGCTCATATATTCCATGTGACTAGACGAATCGTACTCTCTTGCACTAGTTTCTTTACATGCACTTGTCTATAATATCGCGGGAACCCTTGCCTATCTTACAAACTCATTCAAGAGCTCAAAAAAATCTTCCTTTTTTCAACATGGTTCACGATTATCCTACATAATCAATTAAAGAGCTAAAAACAAACTTTACTTTTTGCAGCAAGGAACACTATTTAATTTTTATTTTGTAAAAATACCTCATTAAATATTTGTTTAAAATTATAAATCACCAATATTCAATGTTTAAAAATCTAAACATAAGGTAATTTGGCCCACCTATAATAACATTAAATTACAAAGAACTACATAGCCCTATTTTTGTATTGTTAACCATGAACAACAGGGTACATTTACTGCACGTTTGGTTCGGGTGAAAATGTTTTTTTACATAAAAAAATTCCCTCGTAGTTAAATGTGGGAATATTTTCATGTCAATTGGCATTATCGCATCTTTTCACACCAATTGGCAACTAATTAATGTAAAAATATTCCCACCCTTAACTATATGAGAGAATTTTTCATGTGCAAAAGTTCTTATAAAAATTTCTCATGAACGAAACATGCAATTAAGGCATTTAGTAGTTTTATTTCCCAACTCTTAACCACCAGAGCATTTTAGTTACCAGTAAAGTAGGTCAAATTACTAAATATTCTTGATCATTCAAAGTTCCTAACACTGAATAGGAGTAATTAGGAACAAATGTTTTGAGGTACCTTAGTGAACCTTGTAGTGGCAATTTAGATCATTTGAACCTTCTAATGCTTTTGTAAAATCTTTTGAGCCCTCCGATGATACTTGCGCTTAGCTTTAGTACTCTTATAGTTTAAAACAAGGACAAGCTTTCTATGCTTTCCCTACAATATAAAACTCATATAATTCCCCTTATCCAACCGTCTATTTTGAATGGAGGCTAAGATTGCCCCAATCACAATGTCACATCTCTATACTATTTTATTTTCATTTTTTTTTATAAAAACTATTTTGATACCAAAATTTTGATGTCCAATCCTCTATTAAACTCGCATTAGAGAAAAATATTAAGCAAATATTTTCAATAAAATAAAATGACCAAAATACCCCTAAAATTTTCAAGGGGTATTTTGATCATTATATTTTAACAAAAAATTATTTTTAACTTTTTTTTATAGGTGCTCCCCAATGAGATGATCGCACGTACCAAATTGCATATTCATATAATTTGTATAAAATAAATTAAAAATAAAATACTTTGAGACGTCGGATCTAAGATCAAATGGTGAGTTACTCTCTTGATTAAGATTGGATGGCTGGATGGTAGGGGAAGTATAGAAACATTTCCCTTAAAACAAAATGGTAGTATCTTTTGAGTCATTCAATGTTAACAACATATGATTGAGATGTACCACTGATAAGTCTATCGTCTGAGAGATAAGGAACAACTACCCAGTGTGTTAAACCCAAATGCTACAATAAAGCATAAACTCTTAATGATATCTACAATTTGTTTTGCCTAATTTGTATTTTAAAAAGAAAAAGTTCATATAAGGCCTAGGTTTTCGTTTTTTTTCTTGTTTCTTTTTTTTTTTTTTGCAATGTTCAAGCCCTATAAAAAAACGTGCAGTTCGAGTGCCAAAAATCCCTCAAGTTGATGCTCTTCTTTCCTTTGAGTAAATCAAATTGATCATTTTTAAACCCTAGAAATGATTGTATCATATAACGAATTATCCATACTATCTATTTTCAAATGTTCCTAGATCTACATTGGCCAGATCTACTACTTTTAGAGTTGATAAGCTACCAAATGATATACAACAA